TCGGGTTCCTCATCGGTACAGTGCAGACGAACCCTCCTCCGGGCCGGGGACGAGGTGGCGCGGAGCCGGGCTGAGGAAGGGCCGGGTGGGCTGAAGGAGCGGGCGGGTTTCCGTCCCCGGGACTTTGTGCCTGCGGTGCCGGAGGTGAGGTTGTGCTCGGCCTGTTTCACAGGCAAGGGGCGACGCGTTAGGTTTGTGAGGAAGGTCCCTCGACCCTTCTGCCTGAAACCGCACCAGCCCAAGGCAGAAAGGCCCCACTTGGGGCTGGAGGAGCGGGTGAAATAGCCTTTACTTAATGTCCCACCTCCCTCTCTGCCCAAACAGGCGTATCTGTAAGCTGCTGCTACAAGAGATTTCCCCTCCCTGTCTCTCCTTTGGTTCACAGGTGGATCAGGTTCAGTTTGGGGGAGGAAGGAATACCAAAGAGCCACTTGTATTTTGAAATGCCCTTTGGTATGTACTGGGGGTTCGTCCCATTGGGAAGCAGTGACTGAATTCCTCTCTCGTGTGGAAAGAGCCTTTTGCTGTGCCAGGGACCAGTGCGTCACGGGTGCCAGCTCCTTACGCTCTCTGCTCGCCACTGGTTCTATCATTATTGACACTGCTGCTGCATTTGCACTGAACGTGTCCAGTCTCTGACTTAAACATAAAAACAGATGTCAGAAACACTTTTTCTAGCTAGATGTTGCTCTGGCCACTTACTCTGGTGATGCCTGCACGGTAAGGGAAGGGTTCCACAATAAAAGCCAGACAGACCAGAGTGAGAAAGAAGTTACAAGACCTCTGTTCCTTACAAAGAGTTTCTGTGTTTCTGTGTGTTTTTGTAAAGCTACTGCCTTATTACTGCGGTGACTGGTATGACTGACATGACAGACAGCGTAATGTTGTGGTGCTAAAGGAAGAGAGATAAATCTCCTTAGCGTCTACAGTAAAATTACTGATACATAAATATAATCTAATATTTTATTTCCCTCAATATCTACTGAGGTAAATAAGTTCTCTTACTGTGTGGGAGACTAGCACTGCTATCAGCTGTGCAGTGGGTATCAGGTTGTGGCTGCTTGTCTGAGCTAAGATAAAACCAGTTGTAAAATGCACAATGCAAATCTTCTGGTGGTACCAAAGAGAAATGGTGTGTGTCATGGGAATATTGCTATGGTGGTTTTACTGTTGTGTTTTGGTGTGTTGTACAGGCTGGTTTGCAAAACCTACCGAAAAGAAGACCCCTGTGAGTCCTCATCAGCACATGAAGGCGGCATTTATGGCTGAAATGAAAGCTGAAAACATCAAGCAGTTTCTTTAGTAAGCAATGTGTAGACTAATCGGTCTGAAAAAGAAAACAAAGTAATTCAACCAGGAACCAGTCCAAGGATGCCACCAGGCAGAGGATGCTGTACAGGTTCACAGCTGTAGGTTTTATCTTATGTGTCCCAGTGAGCTGTGATTGACAAACAGTCCATATTAGCTCCTCTCAAACACAGTGTTTGTGTTGGAAACACTTGAGGAGTTGTCAGTAATCTCAGTACTTAAAGTAGTTTAAAATTTGCCAAGCTTTTGCTCAGCATTTGTCGAATGCTTGTACAGTTATGTAGAGGTTCAGCCTACAGAAATGTTTAGTTTACATTTGTTTTTATGTAAAAATCATTCACTTCAAATCAGGCTGAGCAAACTTCAGTCAGGAGAGATTAAATGGAAAATAGTGGAGTACATCAGTGTAAAGGAGAAGAAAATCATACCAGTGTTTGAACCTTTAGCTCTTCCTGCAGCTTAGGCCTCAATACCTTATTGCTACTTTCCCTTCACACTTTGTCATGCTGTGACCAAATTTATGTGTTATCTGTCACCATTCTGACCTTGTACTCACTTTGTACTCACTTTCATGAAGAAAGATATGTTTCCAAGCTCTCTTCCTCTGCACAGTGAATAGCTAGAACATAGTAGATATTAGGTAGTCATCTGATGGTACAGTAGACTGTTCATAATAAATCTAATAGTCTTAAAGCTTTAGAGTCTTTTCGAAGACCATGATTTTTTTCCCATTATGTTTCTAATTTCACCTACCCTTTAAATTACATGATTTTAAATATCCTTTGTTTCTTTTGTTTAATCCTAGAAGCAAAGCTGTTAACAGTTGTTCCTGAAAATTCAAACAATGGAAGATGACAATATAGATAATTACTCAATTTCTGTAACTTAGAAGCTTTAACTACAAGGAAGCTGATGTACTGTTTGCTTATTTTAGGGATCTTGTAAACAGTTTTTTTTTTGTTTTAGAAGAGTGTAGTGTTTGTTAAAAACATGTATTTATTCTAGTCAGTAATAGACCAGGAGTCATAGATTATTGATAAACATTTACTTTCTGTGTAAAGAAAGTGTTATAGTATCAGTTATTTTAGGAGTAATCAACAGCTTTGGGTTTGCCTTAAATTCCCAGCCTGATTACTTAGCATGAAGTTGTATCTTGCTAAAAAAATTACTAAAGCCATTTTGGTATGTCAGATTGTGGCAATCCCACTGGTTTCATTGTAAGGACACTTGCCACGAGCTATTGCAGATAAATTAGCTGGAAAGTACGTTCTCTTTACTACATAATAGTCATGTACTGGACCATATAAACATTGAAAACTTAAGGCTTGGGATTTTTTTACAGTCTTAAGCTGTGTTTTGATTCCTAGAAAGTTAAACAGCTCTGTCAAAGGTCTGGTTTCTGCCTTCTGAACTCCCTCTGCCTCTATGCCAGCAGGAAACATTGCACTTCATTTGCTGTCATGCAGCCACATCTGTGGTAAAATGTGGCAGATACTTAGTCACTGCTCAGAAATTCCAGTACAGGCAGTCAACAGATTAGAAGAGCAAATGAAGAAAAACAATATTCAGTTAAATGGGAATATAATGCAGGGGTATGTTAGTGTTATAACATTAGCATTGTATTGTATGTTATAAGTCAAATTTTAATTAAACCATGAGACTTGAACATTCCCAACTCAAACAAGAAAACAGCCATTGGCTCTAACAATAACACATAACTGCTCTTAGTTCAGTATGTCATCCAGAAAATGGAACTGTCACTGTAACAGGGGCTTTTAGTACAGTGTTAGTACTAGATGTTGGCATTATCAGAACATGGTTTTATCTAGCAGCACGTGGCTGCTAAGGACTTTGGGTTTGTCTGGTTTGGAGAGAAGGAGGCTGAGGGGTGACCTCATTGTTCTCTACAGCTTCCTGAGGAGGGAAGATGGAGAGGAAGGTGCTGATCTCTTCTCCTTTGTACCCAGTGAGGGACAGTATAGGAATGGTTCAAATCTTCGCCAGGGGAGGTTCAGACTGGGCATTAGGAAGCATTTCTTTACTGAGAGGGTGGACAAATCCTGCAACAGGCTTCCAAAAGAGGTGGTTGATGCCCCAGGCCTGTCAGTGTTTAAGAGGCATTTGGACAATGCCTCTAAAAGCTTTTGGTCAGCCCTGAACTGGTCAGGCAGTTGGACTCTATGATCTTTGTAGGTCCCTTTCAACTGAAATTACTCCACTCTACTCCACTCCTGTTCTGTTCTCTTCCATCCTGTCCCACCCTACTCCTAGCCTAACCTATCCTATATCCTATCCTGTCCTATCCTAAGTGTATAGTACTTTCCCAGTGCTTTGTTCTCAAACTCAAGAATTTAATTTTTTTCCCAATCTTAGACCCCTTCTTTATCAAAGATCCTTCATTAACACCAGCTGGTGCGACACATGCTCTATGGCATGTTGATGGCAGAGTCATATGACAGGATGAGGACATCATGATAGCAGCCTCATTCAGCTGGAGTTCCTGCAGCTCACTTCAATACTGTGCTTTCTCAATGGTCTGGGCAATCTTTTTTTCAGACAATGGGTTGCTCACTGTTTATGGTGTTTTTCACGGTTTGTTATTCATGCTGCATGACTTTTAAGTCACAAGCTGTTGAGTTTTTCTGTTCCTTCTTCATAAGCCACTGTGAACTCTCATATTTGCCAACAAGACACACAGAGCGAACTTTTAGATTAATCACTGTTTGTGCCAAAATTAATTCAAATAGTGGAATCCAGGGAGAATATCCACATAATTAAAAATAATAGAATCACAGAATACTAAGTTGGAAGGTACCTCGAGGATCATCTGGTCCAACCTTCGTAGGCAAAGCATGACCTAGACTGGATGTCCCAGCACCCTGTCCAGTTGAATCTTAAGAGTGTCCAGCGTTGGGGAATCCATCACTTCCCTGGGAGATTATTCCAGTGGCTGATTGTTCTCATTGGGAAAATTTTTTCTTTTGTGTGCAGTTGGAATGTCCGCAGGAGTAGCTTATGCCCATCACCCATCACTTTTTCCATGCGACTCCTTGTAAAAAGAGAGTCTCTGTCTCCATCTTCTTTGTAGCCATTCTTTAACTACTGATAAGGTCTCCCCTGAACCTTCTTTTCTCCAGGCTGAACAACCCCAGCTCTCTCAGCCTTTCCTCACACGGCTTCCCAGTCCTTGGATCATCTCTGTGGCCCTTCTCTGGACCCTCTCCAACCTGTCCACATCTTTTTTGGATAGTGGGGACCAAAACTAAACACAAAAGTAGGGATCAGAGTAATTATACACCTTCCTAAATTGAACACAAGATTATAGTTATACTCAATTCTTTTGTTACTTCAGAAGGAAGGTCAATCTCATTATGCATGGCAGTGATTGGCCTAAAATCACCCAGAAGATAAGGAGTAAAGCAAAGACAGGACCCTGCCCGTGATGTCCTCACTTCATTCTTGCTAAGACACACTGTGAGGGAGATACAAACACCTGTGATAACTCAGGACAGACTGAAACCCTTTACCTGAACTTATCTATCGGACAGGCAGAAGCATTTATGCAGTCCTGATTTAGCCTGGGCACATCTGGTCATCTCTACAGGGTTCATTTCCAGCTAGGCCAAGAGGAATACTGATTATGAGCTGCAGTGCCTAATCCTGACTTGTTGCTTCTTTTTCTCTAGCAATTTTACACAGGTTCCTCACCTAGCAGGAACAAAGGAGAACCTGCATCTGGCACAGCAAATCAGAGCTGAGTGGAAGGAGTTTGGTTTGGATTCTGTTCAGCTCGTTCATTACGATGTCTTGCTCTCTTATCCTGATGACACTAAGCCCAACTACATATCAATAATTGATGAGCATGGAAATGAGGTATAGAAAACACCAGTATTTGAAAGTAGGGGACAAAATCACCTTCATACACCTGGGAAGACTGGGGGGAAAAGCTGTCCACTGCTCTGCCAGTGGTGGTGGGCCTGATCTGAAGTGCACGGAAATCAGGGGTTTGCTTTTATATTTTTATCTTTGTTTCATAATGTATGTGCTAGAAATAGTAATAATTGCACTGATTCATATAGCATACTGACATATAGGCATTAAAGGAGAATTATATAAGAGAATTGCTTTATGTAACTCAGTTGTTTTAAAATCATTTTGTTATTTAGTGAAAGGAAAGCAACCATGGTCACCATCATTATTTTCATTGGTTCGTTATACAGTATTGGTGATTGTGCTGATTTCAGTTTCTTGAAGATTAGAGTTTAGGCCTTGAGATATACTATCACAAGTAGCATCAGCTCATTAGTGAGCAGCCCTAGTGCTTGTAAAAGCTCCAAGGATGAGCAGAATGCAAGAGTATTTTACTGTTACAATCTAACATGCTCTTGCCTGCTGTGCTAAGACCACCTTAAGGGACTCTGTGTTCATTTAAGCAGGATTCTGTGTGAAGAGTGAGGTGGGATTTGCAAGATCACATATTGAGCCAGTATCTTGAAAAGGATGCCCAGTAAAGTTTTGGCCACTCCTCATTTAGAGTCCTAATGAGATCTAGAGTCCTTTAAACTGCAAATGCATGTAAAATGTGCCTGAATAGACAGTACTTCTTTTCCATGGTGCTTGGTTTACTTTTTTTTTTGTTTTATTTTTTCCCACTAGATTTTCAACACGTCATTATCTGAGCCTCCCCCTCCAGGATATGAGGCTGTTAGAGATGTGGTGCCACCCTATAGTGCGTTTTCAGCCCAAGGAATGCCTGAGGTAACATAGTAGAATAGTAATAGAAATAGAAACGGAAGCAGAAATAGAAGTCAGAACAGAAGTAGAAATAGAAATAATAGAAAAGATGGAATACCATACTGTAGTGTAGCAAAGCATAGCACAGAATAGCATAAAGCGATACAGAATGATGTGAAATTCCTGAGTTTAGTTCAAAACCTGACATGCCACCAGTAGGAAAGATGCCCTAGCTCTGATGTTCTTGGGAGTTTTGCAATCAAGCAATGTTCAAATTGAGCAGTCATACATATATGTTTATTTTTTGTTTGAGTCAGAACTGGATTTTATTTTAACCTTTTCCTTAAAAAATATGGCAGTAAATCTTTAATGTTTTCAGTTGCTATAAGCTTATCTGGGTATTTCTGTGACCATGCACCATTGTTTCCCATCTTGGTGAACAAATAAGACTGTAACATTTACATAGCCAAATGAACAGTCTGATTTTCAAAATGCTGCCTGCCCAAGGCTCATGCTGACATGTATAAGCTGCACAGTGTACAGTATGCTTGAAAATGGCTTTTGCTGGCATTTCTAGCTGGTGGTAGAAGTGTTGCTGTGATCTGAGCTTAACACTAATCCTTTCTATCTTGTACAGATGGTACCACCTGATGGGCTTTCTTTTATAAAGCTGGGCTGTTTAACAGGGGGTTTCTATCCTGTCATCATTAGTGGTTTCCACTAGTATTTTGGGAGATTAGAAAAGATAGGAAAGTTACTGTTGTTCTCAGTATCTTTACTGTCTATACATAGAATAATTTGGATTCACAGGGCCCTCTGAAGGTTGTCTGGTCCAAGCTCTGCTTTAAAGTTGGATCTGACTTCAAAACCTGCTACCAATGCTTTTACTCACAGAGTCCACTATTAGAGTCCTGTATTTTCTGATTTGTTAATAAGCTGTGCAAGTCCAGTAAAGGTATTCTATATTCATAGGTATCCTGTATTCATTTGCCTCAGATACTCAAAGGCAGCTGGAGAACTAGGCAGATAGTATGTACCCTGTGATATGAGAGCTTTGAGTGTTTCAAGAATTGCAGTGGGATTTTGGAACGTAACGTAAGTTCTGACTTTGTATCATAGCATAATATTCCCAAAGAAAGACAGAGTAACCTCACTGCTTTGTCTGGACTGGGGAGAGCCACAGTAAGTGATGGGATATGGGAGATAATAAAAACAAGTTTAAAGAAGCTGCAGCCTCCTTCATCAGAAAATGATTTATTTTAATTAAATATAAGAACTTTGTTTTTGAAAAAAACCAACCCAAAACCAAGAAAACCCAACACCTAAAAGACAGATTGTCTTTTCAAAATATGATGCTTTTGTTCACCTAATTACATTAGACATTGACAAAAGCTCCAGGTACCTAGCTAGAGCTTTTAGCAGTAACACTTTCCAGTGGGCATTATCTGCACCTGTGCTGCAAACAGCACGGGAGGGAACATGCATGCAGCTCAGCAGTGGGAATACTCAAAGGGTTTGGGGCTCTTCTGAGTTCTCCCAGGCCTGTTTACATATTTTGTGTTAAAACCATTCTATTAAAAAACTAGAACCAAACTGTGGGGAGAGATATTTGGAACTTGCCAAGTGCAATCATCAGTCATAAATTCTCTTTCTGCTCATTTTTTTGAACATTTTCTGTATAAAGCCCCAAGTTCAGTGAAGGGAAAAGGCCATAAAGTAGGGAAA